AGTAAATAAAGTAAACCAAGCTTTGCGAGATAATTTGAAATAGTTGGAGACAAGGTCACAAATTTTGTAATTTTGAATAACTGGTTTCAAAAGAAATAAAAGAAAATTATAAAATCGACATACTAAATTTATTTTATTGCAGCAAGATTAAATACAACATTGTAAAACTTTTGCTGGTAAATGAGCCATTAGTACAGTAATAGATGTACAGTACTAATAACACTGGAATAAATTTTTAATGAGAACCATTAAAAAAAAATTATGAAGTGCATGTGCCATTAGTTTGGTTTAATTAAAAGAGAAAGGGAGGAGAACAGTTCTACTTTTCCAATATTTTTCAGAGGGCTTCTATGGGTAACCATTTGGCATAACCTAGGGTCAAAGAGGCTCTGATACCAACTTGTCACGCCCGGAATTTCTATCCAAAATTCCAAACGCTTACATGTGTGTGAACCCTCGTCCAGGAATCAGCCGAGGCACACAATAACAAATTGATAATAGAGTACAAATATTACTCTAATTAATAAGCGAATAAAATGTCATTACAGAGGTAGATAGTTCCTCTCAACCAATAAAGTTCTAAGCAGCGGAAATTAAATAAACGGCGCAGACGGCTCCACTCCACAGGCAGCTTGACCAAGGCTACACCTAATCCTCCACACCATCAGCCTCATTGTAGAACTCTTCCTCTGATGAATGATTGCAAGGTGAGTATATGACATACTCAGCAAGCCACGCAGCAAATATGCAAGTGCACAGGATAACAAAGGATGGCATAGTAGGGTTGCATTTGCAAAAGCAGCATTTAGCAAACATTTGAGAATTTGATAAAACAGTTAAGTAATAATTAAGCAATATTAATCCAACGCTATACAACATACCCTGTTGTATAGGCCCAACCATTCTGAACAACCACCCCGGCTGCACAGTTCTATCTCCAAACCAGGAATGTACCATTCCAAACCAGGAGCTAATCAAATTATTACCAGTTATAGCATCTTTTACTATGATGAGAGGTGTGAGACTAATCACGAAAGACATTGTTAGACCCGCCCATAACCGCGGGCACGGCTATTCGAATAGTTTTACTCTGATCAGAGGTGTACCACTGTACCCACAAGACACAACCCCACATCATGTCACCATGTGCCTCAATACCACCACGGTATCTCGGAAAGGAGTTGTGACAATACCCCTCGCATAACACAATTCACTGCAGCGCACCTTCCTGGATCATAATCACCCCCTTATAAACAAGGCATGGACTCCCCAGCGACCCCCGTGGGCTTATCTCCGCCACTTCTCAGTCTGGTGCCCCGCAATGAACCATGCTATACAAAAGATAAAGCCGTTGCCCATGCTGGCTTGTGGTTGGCACGATAAATGTTTCACAACCGAAACTCGTGAACCGGTCCTTAATTGTCATGAGCACGACCATCAAAACCATGTGCTCACAACCCACCATTACCAGGTTTTAGTTGGCACATTAATTAATTAACTAATCACGATTGACCATCGTGAACTATCAATAAGCCATCATGAAATAATAGTGAGTCATTAGTTATCCCATAAGTGTACTAATGTTTCTAAGCAGGGCTAAGCAATTATACCTAATATCTAGTTGAACCAATATAAATAAAGCTCAACTAGTCAAATTGTAATAACCCAAGGTATCAAGGAATAAGGTAATCAATGTACAAAAGGGCCATAACAAAGAATAGGTCAATTCCACCCAATGACATTCGAAAATAGATGCAATAGTTGAATAGAAACAATAGCTTTAAATAGGATCAACATGCTCAAAGGGTTGTTTGGGATCTGTGTGACTTGCCTTGCTGGCCTTGGAACTCTTCAAACTCTTCTTCCGCGAAAACGGACTCTCCGGAAACGACGGAATCTAAGCAAAAAGAAGCAAAATCACCAAAACAGCACATAAACAAGCATGAACAGTACATGTGGATATTTTTAATGTGTAGATCTCAATTTTAGAAAAATTTAGAGACTTGAACCAACTAAATCGGAGCTAAGATGAATTAGTTATGAATTTTTAAAGATTAAATCGGATTAAAACACTTAAATCGGTTTAAATTGAATTATGACGCAATAATGAATTATTTTTGAAAAGGAAAAGGGGATTATTGCGTCAGCAACTAGGGTTTGGGTGGACCGGCGCACGGGCGGCGGTTCACACGAACGGACGGCCGAGATTGATCCGATCCAAATCGGACGGCCGAGATTGATCGGGTCCACGGCGGCTCACGGGAGAGGATCCTGATGACGTCAGCGGTGACGTCACCGACGGCGGCGGCGGCTCGGCGGGCGGGGACGGCTCGGGCGGCGCATGCTCGCCGGCGAACGGCGACGCGAGGACGCACACGGAGGGCACCAACGGGTAGCGGACGGCACGGCGAACACACCGGCGACCAAAACGACGGCGGAGAGGCAACGGACGACGACGGCGACGAGGAAGGAGCGGCGGCTACCTTCGGGTTGTCGACGGCGACGAAGCTCCGGCGGGTTCCGACGGCTGCGAAGGGGCGGACGAGGACGGCGGCGACTTGGCGATGACGACGGCGGCCTTCCCGAGCGACGGCGACGGCTGGAACGGCGGCGGCGCACGGCTGGAGCGGCGGCGGCGACGGCAAAGCTAGGGCACACGGCGCTAGAGCTCTTCCGGCGACGAGAGGCGAAGGCGAGGGTGGCGGCGGAAAGAGAAGAGCACGGGGATCCTTTTAAAGGGGCTCGGAGGCGGCGGCGAAGGCCCACGGCGACGGCAACGGCGAAGGAAACTCGCGGCTTGGAAAGAGGGAACCCGATCCGAATCGAACTTGATTCCAACGCTTTCCAAAGCGATTTAGCCGATGATTCCAAAGAGAAAAAGGTAGAGGAGATCCCGGAGATTGTTTCCCCTCAACCAATTCGGCCGGAGAAGGAAAGAGGCGGCCGGATTTGGAAGGGAAACGGCGGCGGCGCGAACTAGGGTTTCGGCAGCGGCGGCGGCTCGGGGAAGACGAACCTGACAGGTGGACCCCACCTGTCAGCGGCAGCGGGCGCGCGCGCGGCAGCGGACTGGGCCGGCTGGGCCGAGGAGAGAGAGAAGAGAGGTTTTGGGCCGACTTTCGGCCCAAAGCCAAAAGAAGACTTTTTAAAACTTTTTCAATTTAAATTATTTCTTAAATGCAATTCCATTTATTAAAAATACTTCCTTAGCTCAAATAAATCCCAGAAAAATCTAGGAATTATAGAATTAAGCAAAGTATTTAATGAAATTTTATCTGGCCACTTTTTATATTGGAATTTATTAATTAAACATAGATTTTCTTTTCAAGACTTTTAAAATAAATTCTAGAAATTCCATTTAAACAACAATTTATATATTTTGAATTTTCAGGGTGTGACAGCCAATTTGAGATGTTAATGCTATTACTTGATTAATTTCCGAGGAGAAATATCAGAATGGTGTGGTACACTGTTACAGCGGGTGAAATTAGTCTCCCTTTATCTATGTCCTAATGATTTAGTATTAAATTAGAGAGTAAAGTGCATTGGCGGTCCTTAAACTTGTAGAATTGTGTCATATTCAACACATGGAGACGTGTCCTTTACTTTTTTTTTCTTCTTTTCTTTTTCTTTCGTTTTCTTCTCATTCTTCACAAAGAAAGGAGAAGAAAGGGAAAAAAGAGAAGAAAAAAAAGAAAAATGAAAAATTTTCAATGGGTCCCATTTATCAGTTAAAATTTAAATGAGACTTGGATATTCATTTCGAGAGTTTAGGGACCTAGATGACATATCCCTACAAGTTTAAGGACCACCCGTACACTTTACTCTAAATTAGATGTGGACATCTCCTCGTGTGTGTGTGCATATATATATATATATATATATATATATATATATATATATATATATATTATTTTCAGACATTGTCTATACTAAAAAGAATGTAGAGTATGCATGTTGGCCATCCCCCATCTCACCAAAATTGAAGTCTAAAATCAACATATAAAGTGAGAAAATTATTACAAAATTGAATAGCTAAATTACTATTTATGTTTTAGATTTGTCTATTTTTTTCTCGATATATGACTTGGATTTAGACTCTAATTTTCTGAGAATATTATACTGCTGTTATATTTTCTAAAAAAGAATACTATTATCTTCTATTTATATTATTTTATAAGATAACTAGGGGTATTACAAATACTTTGTCCTTTTAGGTATACCATCTCGAAAAAGAGCATATATGTATATACACACCAGCTGAGGTAATACAAGATAACACCGACGGTCCAAATGAGGAAACCCATAGTCTTAGGGGGTGTTTGGGAGAGAGTGGCTACCTTAAACAAATGCAAAAGGTAGAGAAGAAACAACTTTTTATCCTCCAACAACTTCATTTCTATATCTAGACAGCCAAACCTCCCCCAAAACAGAAACCTAAAAGAAGAAAGGAAACTAAAACGAAACTTTTTTTCAAAAAAATAAACTATATATGAATCTCTTAGAAACTATTCTAAATTCATTTTTGACTTTACAATATTTATCATTCGTTCTACTCTTCAATTATTTATCATTCGTTCTACTCTTAAATAATTATCGTAAATCATTCTGTCATTCAGCTATTCTTAGATGCTTTATCCGTTCTATATTATATTTTGACTTTTTAAGTTAAAGACTTGGATAAGTCTGTAAGAATAGCAATATTTTTAATAAAAGCATATTATTAAAATATATTCAATGTTATATTTAATGTAACTGGTTTGACATAGTAGATATTACTACTTTTTATAAATTTAATTAAATTTAAATAGATTTATAACTATGAAAGATTAAAACGACTTATAATACGGCGATGGAAGAGTAGGAGCAGATGGACGGAGCACCCACTGCTGCGGGCGTGAGGTGTCGCTGTCATCCACAGCCGTAGCTCCACGCCATGGCTGAGTCACTCGCTCGCTCGCCTAGGATAAACCCGTTCATAGTCTCTCTCTCGCTGACGCCCCGGCCCCACCTCCAGCTTCCCCGGGCTATAAATCCACCTCGCCCTTCTTCTTCCTCCTCCTCAGCTCAGGCAGCAGCAGAAAGCAACGCCAATACGCCATTGCCGTGCTCCTCGACCTGCATGCACCTCTGTTCTTGGCGTTGAGATACATAGAGGCTTGGGGTGGGTGTTTAAGAACTAAGACCGGAGTTAATTAGCACCCCTGTGGCTACCATCGATCTGTCTAAAGAGTGATTAGATCGAGATGACCATCACCATTGAGCAGCCTCACCTTGGTGAGCTCATGATCCTTTTCTCTCTCTCTCTTGATTTCTTGATTCCAGTCCGTGAGGAAGAAAAGGTTCAGCAATGTTCCTGGATGGATGGATGGATCGTGGAACTAATTAAGGTTCTAAGTTCTGACATGGTTCGCTTGCAGATGCTATCGCCGACCGGAAGGTCGCCGGCGGCGGCGGCGGCGACAACGCGGCGGAGCTCGTGCTCGACGGCGGCTTCGTCGTGCCGGACTCCAACGCCTTCGGCAACGCCTTCAGGTCAGCTACATATTCCTGCATAGGAAAAAAACAGAGCATCATGCAAAAACAGAGCAAAACAGAGTGTCAACTATGGTTAAAAATATTATCCCCTCAGAAGAAAAAATATTTAAAATATTTCTAGTGGATTAGGGAATTTAATTAATCATGTAGTATTTTTTTAAATATGGTGAAGGTTATTGTTTCTCTTTGCAAAAAACAGAGTGGGCAGCAAGTTTTTTTTCAAGTGGACATGTGCAAATAATCATATATTTTGCATATGGAATGTCTTCTTTTTTCTCCTTTGCAAAAACAGAGGTTGGTATTACTTGCTCCCTCTAAAATAAGCCAACATCGTATTAAGATATGATATATTTTAGTACAACGTTATATTTAGATTTGTTATATTAGAATGATTGGCTTATTTTTAGGACAATGCGAGCAGGCTGACAAGACAGACATGATATTTTCGTACGAAATTAGTAAACTAGAACATGGGCACAACTCGAAATGAAAGAGATGTGTGGCCATTCTTGAAACTTGTGGTTGTGCATTCAAATCGTACATACCTCTCTCTCAAGCCACAATACATGTTTGTCCCATTACTTCAAGTTGTCTTTCCATGATTAGCCGTTTGGTTTAGTTTTTGTTGAAACGTCCAAACCCAGGTTTTGTTTTTTTTTCAGATAAAACTGGACAAGAAGAAGATGAATTTGACTACTTAAACGTAAACTCAATTTTGCTGACCAAAGTGGCAAGCTACTTACTGGTCAAATAAAATAAAATAAAGACTTATCTTTTCTTGTACGATTTCAAAGGTTTCTGCGTGTCTATGCACAGTGAATGTCCCACGTGGCATCTGTGGCTGCATTAACATGGCCTTTTGCCTATTCCTTTTTTGCACGTTATCATTTTCGCTTCTTCAGGAATTCTGTACTTCAATTTGATGTTTCTTTAAAAAGTCCAACACGTGGACAAATAAAACACTACCTGTGTTCGAAAAATAAAAACCTTATGGTCATAATCTAGAAATTGAAATCTTTTTCAACGGTGGTAGTAAAAGATATTTCTTAAAAAAAAGGAATTAACCGGAATAATATGGTGATGTTTTAAATCTCCAGGAATTATGAGGCCGAGTCTGAGAGGAAGGAGACGGTGGAGGAGTTCTACCGGGTCAACCACATCAACCAGACATATGATTTCGTAAGTGCAAATTCTGTATCTAATAATCTTTTTTTAAAAAAATACACTCATAATATCCTAAACGACAAGTAAAAAAGAACGGGAGCTTTAATATATGAGATTTACCATTATTTTGGTGCATTGTAACATTGCAGGTGAGGCGGATGCGGGAGGAGTACGGTAGGGTGGACAAGACGGAGATGGGGATCTGGGAGTGCATCGAGCTGCTCAACGAGTTCATCGACGACAGCGACCCGGACCTCGACATGCCGCAGATCGAGCACCTCCTCCAGACCGCCGAGGCCATCCGCAAGGATTTCCCCGACGAGGACTGGCTCCACCTCACTGGCCTCATCCACGGTAAATTAAACTATTTTATAACCGCCACAAAAACCGTCACTGTAATTGCACATCCACCGCGTCGCCGCAATGAACTGATAGGCAGGCCTCACACGATACACCGGGTAGGATTTGTTGGTGTAAGAGCAGGTACAATAGCAGGCTATTAGCCAGCTATAAATATATTTTAATGAGATAAACGATGAGAGAGAAGAGTAGTGGGCTACAGATCTGTAGCCAGCTGCAGCACGGACTTCAAGACGCAATGTGTGTATGACAGGTGATACCATATATTAATAGTATAGTAAGCAACTATTGAATGAATTGGCTATTAGATTAGCTATAGATGAATTGGAGCTAGTAGTGGGCTATACTATTAAACTTGCTCTAAGGTAGTAATAATAGTATATATCTAGGACTCATCCAGTCACTAGCAGGTAGGCCATACGATAAATAAAGATGAATAATTAGATATGATGGAGTGATACAGTATCAGTGACGGTTCGTAACAACCTCTTTGGAATTACTCGGCTAAAGGAAGAAAGAAATGAAATGGCAATACAGTGGGGCACACTTGTGACGTGTAACATGTTCTCTTTTCTTTTTCAGATCTGGGCAAGGTGCTGCTGCATCCCAGCTTTGGGGAGCTCCCACAGTGGTCAGTCGTCGGTAAGAAACAAACAACAGAAGCAAACAGCTTATTGCCATCTCACTGAAACTTCTTCAGATTCAGCTAGGAACAATAGCTGAACATCCATCCATCTCTGAATCTGAATGTCTTTGACCTTTCAGGTGACACCTTCCCCGTCGGCTGCGCATTCGACGAATGCAACGTCCACTTCAAGGTAACCAATGAATCATCTAGCAAACTGTTCAAGACAAATCAAAAGCGTAGATGGATCAAGCAGTGAGCTAGTGGTCTAAGACTGAAACTGAAAATATTTTGTCTGAAAATGTGCAGTACTTCAAGGAGAACCCTGACTACCTGAACCCAAAGCTCAACACCAAGTTTGGGGCCTACTCCGAGGGCTGTGGCCTTGACAATGTTCTCATGTCCTGGGGCCATGACGACTACATGTACCTGGTAAAACACACGGTTCATCGTGTCGATTCATCACCAATTGCATACCATGGAGCAGAGAAATCTTCAGTTCTAGTACTGAGGTTGTAGTTTTCTCTGAAATGTTGATGTGTTTCTTGTTCTTGTTCATCTCAGGTTGCCAAGGAGAACAAGACCACTCTTCCTTCTGCAGGCTTGTTCATCATCAGATATCATTCATTCTACCGTAAGTGCGCGCGACAGTCTTCTTTTTTTCAATTTTGTCAGAATTACAAGTTTTAAGTAAGTTTTAGCTAAATTTTGCTATCTTTGTCCATGATTCAGCCCTGCACAAGCATGGAGCCTACATGCATCTGATGAACGATGAGGACAAGGAGAACCTCAAATGGCTGCGTGTGTTCAAGTAAGCCACCAGATTGATCACCCTGCATCTTAATGTATATAGTATGAAAATGTACTGAACATGAATGGTTTTCTTCTGCAGCAAATACGACCTGTACAGCAAGAGCAATGAGAGGATAGACGTTGAGAAGGTGAAGCCCTACTACATGTCACTCATCGAAAAGGTATGATCGATTTTGCAGCGAATACTGAAGCTTGAAACAGACTTCTTTTTGTCCTAAAACCTGAAGAAATGATCTTCTTTTTCTCTCTGAATTCTCTCGCAGTATTTCCCGGCCAAGTTGAGATGGTGAAGAAGAGGGAGAGAACATAAAAAAAATTGGTCGAAATTATCCTGTAATATGATGTAATTGCAGGAGTTCAGTTGGCTGTACAAGTATGTAGTAGTACGTGTACACATTTTGTATGTTAAGAGCAGAATTTGTTGGGAGCCATGCACGTGGAATAAAAGTTGCCGGTGATTGTTCTTTGTAAATGAGCTCTTGTAGGTGGGATCTGAACATGAAATTGCATTCGAAAAGAAGGGTTGAAATTTGCAAAGAGGCGTGCAGATTTTTCGTGTGTACGAGGAAAGATGAGATGAACTGAGCATCTGAGCCATTATCTGGATGGGCCTTTTGGGGTGTGAGGAAATGGGCCTAAGTTAAAGATGGCCTGAGCTGTTTTGATGCCTTCTTGGCAAGGGGAAAAAGTACACCGAAGGTCCCTTAACTTGTTGTCCAGTTACAAAATCGTCCTCTAATCATAGTACCATAGTACCAGATAGTACCAGATATATGACATCCTTCAACTTACAAAACCATTTATTTTAGGTCCCTTGGTGCTTTTCACCCTGGTTTTGTCTGATGTGGCAGCTGAGTTGGCGTGGAACCCATGTAGACCCCGCATGTCAGAACGCCACATCATCATCCTCTCTTATTTCTTGTCTTTTTTCTCTTTTCTTTTATTTCTTCAATTCTCCTCTCTTCTCGATGCAGCCGGCGCCAGATGGGGAGAGGCGGTCATCGAGGCCAGCCAGGGAGCCCCAGGCTTGGCAGAGAGGGCACGGGCATGGCGCCGGCGGGTTGGGGTGGTCGTAGAAGGGGCACACCGCCGCCGCCCCCTCCCGCGGATGTTCCCGCGCCCGACGACGACGACCCGGCACCGGAGAACATGGCGGCGGCGGCCGAGCCGAGGAAGAAGCTGTCCTGCATGGCTCCAGCAGCGGCGGCGGCGGCCCCCGCCGCTGGGTCTTGGGCGCCCGACATCATGTGATGGTGAGCGCCGCGTTGGCGGCGGCGGCAGGGACGGACGGGCCGCCCAACTCCACTCCGCCAGTCGCCACTCCTTTCCCCCGGCCACCGTTCCTCTGCCTAGTGGGCGGCGGCCGGCGGGGGAGCCCGCGCACCGCTCCTCCCCCCGCCGTCCGCCCGCGCGATGAATTTGGCTTTTTTTTCGTTTTCGTAAACCCTGCTCCAGAGTACAAGAGAGCAAAATGGGCCTTTTTCTGGTCGAAATGAGGAGCTTCGTGTTTCTGAGATTTGCGAATTGCTTTTAAGTCCTTGTTACTGAATACTGCATTGGTAGTTTGGTACAAAGTGATCCTTCGGTATTGCCCTCTGATCTTGGACTGAACAAAAACAATCCCGGATAAGCTACCTTCTGGAGGAAATAATCCCAATGAAACCAGGGAAGTTTACCACGATGAATTCAACCACACCAGAAGAACCATTATAAACTCAAATGCTTGTATTTCCCGGGAATTGTATTCCTCGATTTACTCTGCTCGATTCTCAAATCAGATTAGAGTTTGACACCGCGAGAGATGAGGCCACAGGTTGCGCCCCCCCCCCCCCCCCGGGGGAGTGCGGAGTCAGCCTGCGCGCTTCATGCCGCCGTGGCGGCCGAATAGCCCCGCCTGCAACACCCAATCCTTGACCATCTCCTGCGCCGCGTGGCCGTTGTCCGCCGGCAAGAGGTGCCCGGCGCCGTAGACGACGACGTGGGAGAGCGGGCCGGAGCGCTGCACATACCCGGCGAGCTCCTCGCCGATGCGCCACACGGCGCAGTCGGCGTCGAGGAAGACGGCCAGGCCGTCCCACTTCAGCTCCCGCATCCACGCCTCCGTGGACACCACGCCGTCCCTGAGGTCACGGATGCCCTGGTACAGCAGCACGCGCGTTCCCCGCAGCAGCGCCTCCACCTTCGGCTTCACGCTCTTCATCACGTCCCCATGCATCGCCGCGCCTACCGCGTCGCTGCACTCCTCCCACTCCATATCGCCACGCGCGCCCAGGGCCGCCTTCACCTCCACCCGGTTCACGAACTTCCCCACGGGACCCGTCTCGTAGGGGCGCTGCTTCGCTGCGTCGAACAGCGTCGCCAGGCCCGTCGCGTTCTCCAGCAACGACAGCACGAGCTCCCTCGTGTCGGCCCGTCGCGTTCTCCAGCAACGACAACACGAGCTCCCTCGCGTCGGCCAGCCGCCGCGTCGCCCATCGCCGGCCGCTGACGCCCTTCTCCTCCCGCCTGCTGAGTCAGAGAAGGGAGAGAAATACGAGGAAAGGAGAGAAGAGGGAAAAGAGAGAGAGAGGAGGTTGAAGTGGTCACGCTGACACGTGGGTCCCATGCTGACTCAGCCACCACGTAGAATAAGTTAAGGGACGCTGGATATCTGGTTTTGTGGTTGGGGGACGATTTTGTAACTCGATGACAAGTTGAGGAACCTTCGGTGTACTTTTTCCATTGGCAAGGTGACAGCTCTTTTTGGATGGAATAAGTTCACTTTAGGTCCCTTAATTTATTGCAGAGTCTGAAAATCATCCTTGAACCACAATAACAAATATGACACGTCTTTTAACTCCTAAAACCAGTGCAAATAAGATCTCAATATGGTTTGGATGGTTTCGGATGGTGGTTTCGACTCCTCCAACAAGAGACTTCGTGATAACATCGTCAACCCGAAGGGGGCGGTGCCATCAATGATCGAGAATCTGGTGGCCACCAACACCGAAAACCAAAATGTCAATTTCCTTTTATATATGAATCAAGTAATAGCAAACGAGTAATCACAACTTCACGATCAATTACACATCACTACAGCGCAGAGTCCCAAAGTACTTACCAATCATCTAGAACTGGACATTCCTATGGCTAAGAAAAACACAAAAGACAAGAATCATTTGAGAGTGAAGCAGGCGAGGCTAGCAGATCTATCGGAGGTGCCATCGGCTGGGAGGTGATACCTTGAGGTTGGAGGACGCCGCCTTGGAGTCGAGCGACCCCCAATTGCTCGCCGCGGAGATGGGGAGATTGGGGAGAAGGAGACGCGAGTCCCACTGTATTTTTTTTTACTTTTAATTGGACCGTCACTAACATATGGGTTTCACCATTTTTTTCTCATTTTAAACATCGTGTTAGTTAAAACCACCATCCAAACCGTCTTTGATTTTATTTGCATTGTTTTTGAGAGTTGAGGAATGCGTTATATCTGGTATTGCGGTTTAGAAATGAATATTAGATTCGACGACAAATTTGAGGGACCTGAAGTGAACTCATTCCTTTTGGAATGTGGATGATCTTTTGCAAGTTGAAAATGGGCCGAAAGAACAGTCTTTCAATTGACCCTAAACTGTTCCCTTCTCGTAAATCATTTCGCATGATGCTTTATTGGTAGTAGATGTAACCGTAGTGGGCCGGATCCAGAAATGGGCGGAGGCATGGACCGTGTTATTAGAGTTTTTGCTCCACCCCTGACCATAGAACATTGTCTTTTTTTCTTGATCCACCCTACCAGCACACACTCACCAATAGGGGCATTCCTAGTGTAATATTCATAGTTGTGTCACATCACACTATGTAGGACGAGGTTGCTATAGCTTTACGATGATGGCTACTACCTCCATTCTAAAATATTTGTCGTTTTGAGTTTTTGTTTATAATATTTGATTTTTCGTCTTATTAAAAAAAATATGAAATTATTATTTATTTTGTTTGTGATTTGCTTTATTATCAAAGTGCTTTAAGTATGATTTCTCCATTTTTATATTTACACTAATTTTTTAAATAAGACGAATGGTCAAACGTTACAAGAAAAAAGTCAAAGCGACTACTAATTTGGGACGAATGTAGTACTCATTATTCTTTTATTATTATCATTTTGGCTCTTGATTTCTTGTATGCCAACCCTTCTCATATTTTTTATTAACACAAATTAACTGAAACTTTTACAATTTAGACGCTATAACAACATCATCAAAAATACATACATACCGTTAATTATAGGCTGACCCACTATCACCCTACCTTATTTTTTTCTCCCTCACCGCCCTCTCTCTCCTCTAATTCTCTCCCCAGCAGATCGATCTCCATTTCCGCCTCTCTTGTCGCCTCCTCCCCTCTCTATTGGTTTCCTTTTCGCCTCCTCCCTTCTCCATCTCCTCGAGTGCCGGCCTTCGCCCCCTCCTCGTTGCCACCTCTCGTCTCTCTGCTTCCTCCCATCCCCTTTCCTCCTGGCAGTGGCGGCTCAAGCTTGGTGCCACTGATCGAGCTCAAGTGACAGGAGTGCCCTACGACAGCGTCCATAGTCGAGGTCGTCATCATCGGTTGGCCCTTTTTTCCCCTCCACGATTGGGTTGGGTTGAATGGAAGGGAAGGGGAGGGGGGACAATGCATGCTTCGATTGAAGTTGGGTGTATGCCACTACAGAGATACACGGGTTTTACCGAGGTTCCGACTTGTGCAAACGTGGAGGGGATTCTTCTAGCGGTCACCTTATTAGAGAAGAATGCCACATAAGTATAGGTCTAGCTAAGACATATATGATATATGAAACATAGGACAAAGGTAAATATCTCTAAATTTCTACTCAAATCGTGTTCATAATAATCGTTGATAACATAGATTCGATGTTTAAGAAAAAATCTATTTCTTTTGTATAGCACTTTGAGTATAGTGACGGCAGTTCTCAGATACCGAATAGCTTATCTCTATTTCTAGCTATTTTAAGTCATATTAATCATTATATTACTACTTCTAGCTATTTTAAGTTATATTAATTATTGTATTACTTGAAAATTAGACTATAATATGTCGAGAATCCGGTATAATTATTTTTGCAAAGTTTGTCACCGTACGTGTATACTTGTACCCTACGCTTGGACGTGCCGCTCGTTCACTGGCTAGGACGGACGAGACAACCGAGTAAACAGTACTCCATCCGTCCTGCAGCCTTGCTTGTTGTCTCCGTGCACCAGGGAGAAGCAAGCAGCATCTATACGTCCAAAGTAAAGTAGTACTAGTACGGTGCGAGATCAAACTGACCAGTGAGCTTTTCAGTTTTCACGGCAACAGGAGGCAGAGAAAGCGAGAGGAAGGTTGGCCACAACCCAATCAAAAAGGACGTGTATCTGTGCTTTTTTTTTTGTGCGAGTCCTCCATTTTCCCTTGTGATGCAATCATCCGTTGAAAGATGAAACACACCACGTCTGAACAAAATCCCCCCTTTTTCGTCCGATATATGGTTATATTTTTTGGGGGTTTGAATTTGAATTTGACGACGGCCAGGCCACGATCGCGAGCGAAGTGGACCGCGGCCGAACCACAACCTGCTGGACTGGACTGGAGTGGTGGCGAGACAACTGATATCGCCTCCTCGCTCCAAATCCAATCCCACCAAGGCTGGAGGAGCATATACACGATGCTATTGGCCAACTTGTATCGCGCACATCAGAAAAAGCGTAAAAGCATGTGTTTTAATTATTTTGGACACGCGGTAGAATAGGATGGACTTATCCATGTTTATTAATTATGAGACGGTTCTATTTATCCGTCTAGTATGAGAGATAGAACGATGCTAAGCTGGAGATGGAGCTTTACCAAATATGCCCCAAGGGTGTGTTTGTAACTCCTTTTTCCCAACCCATCTCCCTCTGTTTTCCGCGCGCACGCTTTTCAAACTGCTAAACGGTGCGTTTTTTATAAAAAAAAGTTTCTATACAAAAGTTACTTAAAAAAATCAAATTAATCCATTTTTGAAAAAAATTTTAGCAAATACTTAATTAATCATGTGCTAATGGACTACTCCGTTTTCCGTGTTTACTGTGCATGCGGGGAAACTGGAGTAGCGAACACACCCTAAGTGGGTTGGGTTAATTAGTTTGTCGATTTTAGTGGGATAGCGTCAATTAAACCTGGGTCTTATGAGAATATTCTTTTTAGGGACCGTTCTCATCATGCGTGTCCTTAAACCAATGACACTGAAAAATGTGTTTGATCTATGCCGATACATCCTATTCCTTGAACCAAGCACATGCTTAGTGATAGGAGTAAATCATATCACGTGAAATTCATGTGTTCCAAACTGGTGCCCTCCTCTAGAATTACACATTTACGTAACACGGTCCTTTTTAGATGTGTAATTTTGCATGACTGAAACTAGGTCTAACTTGGTTGACGTGGATTTGTCCATTTGTCTGTTTGATCTCCTTTAACAGCAGGTGTAAGGTTTTCGAGTCTGATTCCTCTTGAACAAGTGTTTTTTTTCCATTCTTAGTATAAAAAAATAGGAACAATCTGTCCTCTTTATCGAGGTATAAAAAATTTGGGTTTGATGTATGATTTCATCTGTCAGCTGCTATTTCTATGTAACGCTCTTCACGCATGCTTTTTTACGAAAAGGCTAATAGTTAGGGGCCACATGAGGACATGATCTCCTTAAATAATTCAAGGTTTCCATTAGAGCCGACAGTGCCAACAAAAAGGGTCTACCTCCTTTTCCCTGCATCTACAGCCAAATCTCATCAAGCCATCTCCCTCCACCCAAAAGCTGGATTGTGTTTGGTCGTCTCCCTCTCTCCACCACTCCCACCCAACTAGTACCGTTGGAGAAGGACCGAATAAGGTTATATCTACGGAGCTCAAAATTCAGAGAAGCAGATAAATAGACACTTAATAGGAATATAAAAATATTTCCCAGTTTTTGATTTTTAAATTTATTCTTCGAATTCTGCAACTATAAATTCTTAAATTATATTCTAGGTAAAAACCTGTACCGTTTGAAGGAGCTAAAGACTTTTTTTTTAAAAAAATAATTTTAGTCAGACATAAACTCCTTCAAACATGACCAAACTGAGCTACCGGAGTTAAAAAAAAAAAAGCTGAGCTACTGCTAGTGCTAGTGTGACCAGATTGTGGAGTATATACCTATGCGGCCAATAATAGGGGTTCGGAGATCGTTGCGATGATTTTATAGTGCGTAGATACTCTAGTACTCCCTCCCTCCATACTTGTAAAGGAAGTCGTTTAGAACAGCGACACGGTCTCTAAAACATAACTTTAACTTCTTGTTTCTATAAAAATATTTATTGAAAAGTGATATATGTATAATTTTATGAAAGTATTTTTCAAGACAAATCTATTCATATAATTTTTACATTTTCAAACTCAATAACTTGAGAGTTATTCATGATTTATATTTTTAAGATTTAACTTAAATATTGTCCTAAATGATTTCCTTTACGAATAAAGAGGAAGTACTAGAGTCATTATGCATGGGGATGATGAATTGATGATTATTATTGAATTGGTAGAGTGCTCGTGCAACTGCCTGCCAGTGGAAGTGGACTCCTGCAGGGGATATCGATAGTGGTGTGTGTGAAGGCAATGCACCCAGAGGCCAGCCGGTGGGAGGTACACGCCGTAACGTCGCTGCAGACCATACATGGGGCACGGAAAGATATACAGTTATTTTGGAAAAAAATATGGGCCTGTTTACTTGATAAAAAAATTTAAGAAAATTCGATTCATAGCACAGAAAAAAACAGTACCAAAAAATAGCACAAGAAGTTTTCGCTTATAGAATTATAGAACGTCAAGAATTATAGAACCGGAGGGAGTACTTTCTTATTGTATTTGTCGGTGATATGGGTCCGGGGGTACGCATGGTAGAGGGGAATGACCTTCCCATCTAGCCACGTGGCCGTGCGGCCTGCCTTTTCCCCACCCCCTCGGGGGGAGGTCAGGTGGTTATGAGGTGGCCAGGGGGCCTCGGGGCGCCACGTCACACCCCTCGGGCCCGTGAGGCATACTGCCTCGAGGCCCTCACCGGCCACCACGTGGCGGAGTGAGTGGACGGAGCAGGCGGTGCCATCCAGCGTCTTAAATGCGCGGCGCCCCAACCATCTCTTACCACATTTAATGTGGTGTGGGCAGACGTGCGGTGCCGCCCGATTGACGCATGTCAATCGACCTTGACCGGTCTGCGACAGATCGCAGGCGGATAGGACAAGCGATAGTGCCCCCACGTCCCACCCTGTGTCAGGTGGAGTGGGGGTAGATATGCCCCGTCCCATCGGCACACTGCCAAGTGCGCCCCATGTACATGGTGAATCCACCAAAGTCTCCATACATTTAAGAGGGAATGGAAGGGATGTCCCCCGTGTCAGGCGGAGGACGGCGTTGGGCCGCACCTGGCGGCGGACAACCACTTTGCTTCCAGTTGAAGGCACGGATGGTGATCTGACTCAGGCCAAGTGAGCCCCCCCATGGAGGGATAGGTATGAACGGTGCATGTAGTATCCTCTTAAACTATAAAATGAGAACCTTGCCCACCGAAAAAAATGGACGACTCTTGATAGCTTGAGCTCCAGAGGAAGCACAGCTAGGGTTTCCAAGGAGCACAAGATCTCTTGTAAGGACTCCACCATAATTCCACACACAGGAGTAGGGTATTACGCCTCCCGGCGGCCCGAATCTGGATAATCCCTCGTCTTCCACACAGATTCGCTAGTGATCTAGCAGCTAGACCCTAAGCGGAGATACGCTCTTGATCATCGCGCCTTATCCCCCGGTCAAACTCACAAAGGGGGGTCTCACGACCTCCCGCTAGAGAGGATCGCTCCTCGACAGTATTCGTTTCTTGGGTTTGAAATTGTTGATTTAAAAACAAATTGAAGCTAATTTAAGAAAAAATAAATTGAAGTTGAATTTTTGCATGGTTATTATGGTAATTGTCTTACCGTGTGGTGCTGGTAATTAAAACCCATGCATCGGTAGAGAAACATTGGTTATAGAACCCTAGGTTGGTTTTGTTATGACAGTCTAGTGATATACATGAAAATTTGGTATCTTTATAGACTCTATGTGTATTTTAGATAAAAAATTCGTATTTTATCGGATGTTTGCAAGGACGCTATGCGTATTTTAGATACCAATAGAAATGCAATCTATAAAAGTGTTAGTATTAATCTTGAAAAACTTTAAGGAGCAGCTGATAAAAGAAATGTACTAGGGCAGAGGAGGTGGGGCCTTCTCTAAAAAGGAGTATATAGATGATACATTTAGAAAAAGTCTTCCATCATGGTGTCGTACAAGTCATTTTGTACGGTGGTGTAGCATTGCATCACACAATGATCCTATAGCAGCTGGTACGTTGAATGACCAGCAGTACTAAAAATGCATTCAAGTACATTGCATTTGCATACAGCTAGTTAACGTAAGAAGCAAATTAAACGATATTTCCGTACAAACTTCCAACAGTGCATAGAATGGGCGGAGGATATGATCTACAAAAGGAAAAAATCACCACCATCGAGATATATCGATTTTACTTTGAATAATAGTGGAATTTCTTTTTTGGCTAACCGTGAATGTTTTTCACAATCACAATACATTGATGACAGCTCTCAACTCTGTGAGTAATTTCATTCGTCTTGACTTGAGTGTAATGCTAATTTCCGAGCCTAGCCATTTACAAGATTATTCGGTTTGACCACACCTCTTATTTCAAGCCCAATAAAGATCGACTCGTTAGTTTCATTGACTATAGTTATCTTCTATTCCGTCTCGTACCTTGATATGCACTAGTCACATGTTATTTTACTATGGCTATGTTAGGATAACACCCTTCATGCATGGTTCTTGCTCCTCCTATGCATTTTCGATCAAAGTCAAATACTCACTCAGCCCCTTGGTCATCTCATTGTTGTTCTTGTCACCACATCTCTCTCATACTATAGTTGACACTCCAAGCTGCAACTAATGTTAATTTGAATCCATTGCTTCTTGCCATTCTCAACATGATCCTCCCTCCTTTCCTCCAGCTTCTCGTCTGGAAGTGATGAATGAGGAGTGCATGACATTGTGATAATTTGATGAAAGTAATCTCGTTGGGCTCATCAACGAATAACCAACCAATTATAAAAAAAAAGCAACAAATGACTCAAAATGGATATGACAAGAGCACCAGTAAGACGAGTTGTATTATGTTGCTATGACATGCCTTTTAAGCTTGAGCAGCCAAATGAAGGCAATATATTATGGCTTAAGTTGGGGCAACAAGCGCAACAAGCATGCCACATTCTAAACTTGTTTACGGGTTGAACCAATTCTGGATAAAAGTCATTTCGCTTGCTTAGTTTGGTAAGAGGAAACTATCTATTGAAACTAGTTTCCCTGTATCAAAAAGAATCAACTTAAGATAAGATGTAACATATCCTAGAACGATGAATCTGAACAAGTGTTAAAAGTGGAATGGTAATAAATTTCTTCAATGCTAATGAAGAATTTTGTAACAAAGTGAATATGTTGTAACTTTTTTATGACAAACTAAAAGCATACCCCCTTATCCCAAAATGTAGCTATGAATATATACAATTATCTAGATTCATAGTTAAAGTAACTACTATATGGTACTATCTAAATTCATAGCTATATTTTGGAATGGAGCGATTAGTTTTGCAAAAGAAAAAAATCTAACTGTTGTTCAATGTTTTATTTCTAAAAAACTGTTGCTCAATAATGAGAAATTGAGAATGCCCTAAGGTGAATACCTATGTTTTTTTATACACTGTTTTACTCTGATGTTCTCTTCAAAAATTGAATTGTTTCAACTGAAAACAATTGTCACTGAACAAATGAACCCCTATATCACGTTTGTAAATCTTACCGGCATACTCTCTCCATCTAAAAATACCAGCCTAATACAGAATGTAACGCATTTTAGTATCCAAATTCGTTATATTAGAATGTGTCATATCCAGTGCTATGTTGATATTTTCTCAGACGAAGGGAGTGTACTACCATGACACCCAACAAAATGGGCCCTCAAAACCCTCCCCACAAAAAAGAAAAGAAAAATTGGTGAAGAAATGAAACGAAATTGTTAGGTCGCCAATCCCATTAGCAACAGATCTCAGATACAGACACACACACCCCCCCTACATATTGCCGCAAATCCAATCCCGCTGCAACTGCACGTAAGCATCTCACACGCTTCTGTCTCGCCTCTCCCCGTTGGCGTGCGCGTGTGTTTCGCTTTTTCTCTCTCGCTTTCTTCTTCCCTCTCCCTCTCCTTCTCCTTCCTCCCCCCCGACACGCGCACTCACACGCACACCGCACCGCCACACCCGCCTCCACAATCTAAACCCCTCTCTCCCCCTCCCCTCCTCTCCGGCGATGCTGCCGCGTCGCCGCGCGGGGCCCCTCCGCCTCCTCCGTCTCCTCCTCGTCCTCGTCGTTGCCTTCGCGGCGGTGGTCGCATTCTGCCCCGCGGCGGCGGCTGCGGCGGGGGAGGGGGTGGGGGTGGTGGAGGAGGAGGAGGTGCGGGTGGGCGAGGCGGCGGCGGCGGTGGCGCGCGGGGAAGGGGACGACGCGGTGGTGGCGGCGGCGGTGGCGGGAGGGGAGGTGGCGGGCGAGGCGGGGGCGGGGTTGGGGGAGGGGGCGGCGGCGGCCAATGCGACGGGGAAGGAAGGGAGCCTCGCGGAGATGATCGACCGCGCGCTGGAGAAGGAGTTCCCGGAGTCCGAGGGCGAGCAGGGCGGCGGAGGTGCGTTGGATCTGGTTACCTCGGGGGGGGGGGGGGGGGGTGGGTGCCCCGTGATCCGCCTGGGGATCTGGTTACTCCCACTCGGCGCCTCAGGGTCGGCGGCGTCGAGATCTCGGCCTCCGTGGCCGCGGCGGTGGGGGATTTTGGGATTATTTGGGACTGCCATTTTGTGCTTACTTGTTTCGGCGGCTCTGGTTTTTTGCAGAGAAGGACCCCGGCAGCTTCAACAACACGGTGGCTGAGAAGCAGGTGATTTCATTTGCGCACTTGTGTTTGCTTGCTTACTTTCAGCCATTCGTTCCCATTTGAGGGTAGAATCTGGTTAAATTTCTTAGTATCATATGCTGCGTGTGGAAACGGGTGGGATATTTGGATCCTGCCGACTTTAGTTTTGGAAGTTCAAATCGTTATTTGTGCCTGGAATTTGAGTGAGAATTGGTTCGATATGGGTGTGTGCCTCTAAAGAAATTTCTTACTTGGCATGCTTAAATTCGATGGAGTTGGCGTTTAAACTGAGGATGCAACTGTTAATTCTGGCTCTGATCATGCTAAATTGATAATGCTCCACTAGGTTTTCTACCGCTGTAAACTCCATGAGCCCCGTGATGCTTTCATATGTTGCTATGTAGTTTTTGTGCCTTTTGACCCAGTATATTTTGACCTGGTGTAGTTAAGTTGACATTTTCCTAGTGCTGACGACAATACCTTGGATGATGTTTGTAGCTTGTCATTGTACTAGACTAGATAATAATGAATATTTATTTATGGTGGAACTAAGAAACTTTCAAACACAACTAATATTAGTTTATGGTGTACCTAGGTTAATGTATTTACTTGCTTGAAAAATCTTACTAAACTTAAACTAGTTATATTCTTCTTCTGAAGTTCCTTGTATTAAACTAGTTATATTCCTCTTCTGAATTTCAATGTCTTCATTACTTTTTGTGAAATATTGTTGGCTATACTGTATACATCGCACATGTGTCTCTGTAGAAGTGCTCATCTTGTTCTTTATCCTACCAGGGAGTCCTGGAAACTGTGGCCAGAAGAGTAACAAAGAAGAATGAGACCAAAGACAATAAGTATGTTATTGATCAAAATTTGACTTTGTGATATTCCTTGTTTAAGTGATTTTATCCTATATTATTTATCTTACTCTTTATTAAACCCCCCAAATCTATGATCTTAACCCCCTAGGTCATTCCCATTTAAGGAAGTTTTCTTGGATCGGCCAGAGCAAGAGGATGTTCCCACATTGATTGATCGGAAGGTACAAGCACTGCAATTGGTTGAAGGATTTATTTGACTTTAAAGCTACCACTTGTGCACAACGTGCCAGTTCTTATCTTCTGATTTACTGTCCTGAATTGACACAATTGCAAATCCAGGATAATGTTTTTATTATATCAAATCCGAAGTCAAAATACCCTGTGCTGCAACTGGACCTTAGGTATGTTATCCAATTCTGATGTTGAATATTCATAAAGTATCCTTAAGTATTAACTTATTTGTTGATTGTGAACTATTGTAGATTGATATCGGATCTTGTCGTTGTTATTGTGTCTGCTACATTTGGTGGAATTGCCTTTGCTTGCCTTGGGCAACCTGTGAGTGCTATACATTCTTCCTCTCATTACTTGTACAAGGCATTTATTCTTGTGGCTATTTGAGTGTTGTGGTTTTATATTAAGCCACCTAAGGCTACAACTCTAAAATATATTGCAGGTGATTACAGGTTATTTACTTGCAGGATCTATAATTGGACCAGGAGGTTTTAGCTTTGTCAGTGAAATGGTGCAAGTAAGGTGCTTTTTCCTTTGTTGGTTGCTTTTCTCAAAATATGTTTGTGCTTTTGCTCAATTGTTTGACTTCTTCAGCTATCAGCTAAATCGTAATTGTTTTTCTATTGGCAATTTGTTGTGCACATGGAGAGAAATATATACCGCTTAAGTGCTTTTACATTTCTATCTTCACACCCTACAAGTTCATGGGAACACTCTGTTTCTTTCACTATCAGTTGTTAGATAGAGATGTACATGAAAATTAAGATTCGCTTCATCTAATTGCTGGAAAATGGCATGGTAACCTGGAATTGTTTTGAGATGAAGCCATATAATGAGATATGTTTTGCATTGTCTGAAATTGGTAACTGTATTCGTACAATACATGTGTAGTGGTTAGTGAACTTCACATAAATAACAGTGAGGCCATTAACTTTGGACTTATTGAAGAAACCAAATCCCATCCATGTAAAAGATCAAGGTTCTAGTTTAAATGCCTAAGTTTACTTCAATTGATTTTCGAGCTGTATGCTCGAGAAATTCCCTCTGGCATTTGACTAGAAAAACATCATGCTTCTCGTAACATTGCAAATATTTATTTATCTGTGCACATTTCTTTTTTTTATGTGTATATATCTCAATTGTTGCTCATCTGTTTTTTCTTGGACCATTTCTGTCCTGCCAACTTACCATTGTTATCTTCTTTACTGGTATACACATTCGTGTTTCCTGCTTATTTTGGCTTTCAGACACTGTAGAAATTGTAATGCAATCAATAAATCTACATGTAAAAAGACTGAGTGTAATGCATATATCTACTTGTATATAATTTGTGTGTTTATGACTCATACTTTACCATACAGGTTGAAACAGTAGCTCAGTTTGGTGTGATATTTCTGCTGTTTGCTCTGGGACTTGAATTTTCTACAGCAAAAGTATACATCTTTGATTTTTTTATATATTTGCACTTATGCAAGCATGGACTTGACATAATAACAACATGAGGTGTTTCCCCATTGTCTCAGCTTCGAGTTGTTCGTGCGGTTGCTGTTGTTGGAGGATTGCTCCAAATCATCCTGTTCATGTTGCTTTGTGGTATTTCTGCTACGGTATGTTTCATTGTTGTAATTTAAATAACCATGTTTTGATGTTTCCATTTTCAAGCATAAGTACTGTACACCCTGTTATATGTTGCTCTGGATTATGGATTAGGATTAAAAAACACGTCTTACAGCTCTTTTAATTTTTGTTTATATTTAATATCACATTGCAGCTATGTGGAGGCAAAACAAAAGAAGGTGTTTTTGTTGGTGTTCTTCTTTCTATGTCTTCAACGGCTGTGGTAATTTCTAAATCTTTGAACTTGCATATCTGTGCATTCGATTGCCTTTCATCCAAGTTTACAATGGACCCTACAGGTCCGCTTATGATTTATAACATCAATGGCTTTTAGTTGCTTCAATGTGCGTAGTCCTTGAGCCGTTTACTGTTCTTTGTCTCTTTAAATAGCAATATGTCCATTCTCTCTCGCATGTGTTTTATGACAGTGTTATCGATAATCTTATTGATACTACTTAGTAATCAGGCCATCATCAGGATATATTGAACCAAACAAGGAAATTTGGGGCATGCAGTTGTTTTGTTCGGTTTGATTTTTTCTCTCCCAGTGTCCGTTGTCAGGAGTGCTTCTGCCTCCCTCTCTCGGTTCCCCCACCCTCCACAAAAAGCTAGCCACATCTACTGTTTTGGTGCCAAAATTGAGTAGATTGGGCAGTTGGAACTTGAAGTATGCAGGACCTGGCAGTAGGAGGAGAAGAGGAACTGCAAACGGGAGATGATTTAGCGGCAGGGAGAGAGGAGCTCTTCTTGGCAGCGAGAGGTTAATATGGCAAGGAACTTGATAGTTAATTCATCATCAAGAGCTCTAATTTTTGTGGCAGGGTGCCCAATTTGTTGGTGGGAGCTCTGATTGTGTTGGTGACGACCATTGGGCAGAGCCGGTGGTTCCTTATCTATTAGTCTTGCCTCTGCCAACTCTGCCACAATCAAGGACTTGGTTGCACAATCTGACTGGGACTCAATTTTTTTTGTGACGTTGAGTTTCATGGGTTTTAATCCGGAAAACACTGTGCTTGGTTCAGTTCCTCCAGTGGTTTATGCACAACAATTCTGTTCTCCTTTCTGATGTGCAGAGACAGTGGAGATGACCCTTTTGTGTTGCTAATTAACTCCTCATTTCACTCCACCGTGGAATGCCACTCTTATCTTTTAGTGTTTTGCTACACATCCTCTCAAGCAGCTTTTGTTGTAAATCAACTTGTTCGTCTTGGTTCGTAGTGGAACCATTACCCCTTTCATAGACGATAGATGCCAAATGGTTTTCAATTTAGCACGTTGTTACCTCGTAGATGGTGCTTGACTCATGTGCCAACTGTTTCCTGAATGTCGTATAACTTGCAATATGGTTATGTTCGTGTTGTAAATCCCATTTCCATCTCCTTTTGCTTAACTTTTCTGGGAAAATATTTTCTATGTAGGTTTTGAAATTTCTGATGGAAAGAAATAGCATCAATGCCCTTCATGGCCAAGTTACGGTTGGCACACTCATATTGCAGGTATGAAAGAAATGGATACCATCTTCTAAATTTGTTGAGTTGTTTGGGGAGATGAATTCGTAAAGTTGCACGTTTTGCTTGCTTCTTCTTAAGAATCGAACGAGTGGACTGATTATTCTTTCTTTATCTGAGCTTCACTACTTTCCTTGTATTGGTGATTTGACATTCCTTTGTCTCAGGACTGTGCTGTTGGTCTTCTTTTTGCACTTCTTCCAATTCTGAGTGGCGCTTCTGGTCTTCTTCAAGGAGTTGCATCAATGGCCAAGTCGTAAGTGTAGTGTGTTTTTGGCTTGAAACTTTTATTTACATATAATTTTTTACCACTACAATAATCTGTACACTAGAATCATGTCTCCTGCAGTAAATTCATGCCACATCAATGTCTAAATGGTGGTACTTAAAATAGCAGTGCTACCTGCCTTTACATCATGACAGCACAAAAGTTTATTGCCTTATATCTTGATAATGACATCATGTTGTCCTATGTATATTTGAACTTCCTATTGTCTGTGAAAGTTGTTCCATAATATAATCAGGTGTTGGATTAAATTCTTTTGTCACAATTTCTGACATTCTCAGGTTGGTGGTATTGATAACATTCCTTACAATCCTTTCCATCCTCTCCCGAACTGGTGTGCCTTGGTTTCTTAAGCTGATGATAAGTCTTTCATCTCAGGTGAATATAATCGACAGGCACTACATGAATAGTTTTGTTGAGCATTTAATTTGCATTTAATTTAGTTCTGGTTCAGATCATCATGTTATCCTACATTAACATTTCTGCATTTCTTGCAGACAAATGAACTGTACCAGTTGGCAGCTGTTGCATTCTGCTTGTTGTTTGCTTGGGTGAGTTTCTTTAACTGCTCGTATGTTAGTATCGAATGCAATTGTTCAGTAATGGGAAACTATTTTTCTTTAAACACTGGATGACTGGAGTAGTGCAGATAACTGTTACATGTACTAAACCTGGCCAAAAGTTGTGACACTCTAACTGGATCCGGTAAAGGATGCTAAACATTAAATTTATTCAAAGAAAAATTGTGAAAGTAACAATTTTGCTAAACTTGATCTTTTACACTATTCTAGATTGATTTATAGCATGTATTATAGTGAATGTGTAGTGCAGACTCTAGTGCTTTGCCTCTATCTTTCTTCTGTTCCAAGTTTCTGCACTAATCTTTGTAAGTTTTGCTCTTCAGTTTTCAGCAACTCTTTCTTTACTGTTATGGCTCATGCACAGTTTTCTTGCAAGAAAATGTAGTTATGTTTATCCTTTTAACAGTTCTATTTGCTCTCTTCTATCGGTATCCTAAAACTTATGTTTACTCATGTGCGGCCTTCTATGATGCAGTGCAGTGATAAGTTGGGCTTGAGTCTTGAGTTGGGTTCGTTCGCAGCTGGAGTAATGATATCAACAACTGATCTTGCACAACACACACTTGAACAAGTAATTCCTTGCCGTGAAATTATATGCTTTTTTTTTTGGGTGAAGTTTGTCAGTTCTGTGACAATTTGAATGACAATGCACTTTTTTTTTGTTTTATGTTTCTTTTACTGCTTTAGTCAAAGTTTTAGCTAGATTCATGTAGTTAATGATTCATTATATGTTCTCTTATTTCAGGTTTGTTGTTTCTGCAGATTGAACCTATTCGAAACTTCTTCGCTGCTCTTTTCCTTGCCAGCATTGGGATGCTAATTAATGTCCATTTCCTTTGGAACCATGTCGATATACTCCTTGCAGCTGTGATTTTGGTGATAACTGTAAAGACGTTTATTGTTGCTGTTGTCGTTAAAGGGTTTGGCTATAGCAACAAAACATCTCTTCTTGTAAGTCTTGATTGCTTTACATGTGCTCCCTTCTGTTATTGCTCATGCAGTTACACTGATCTCATGTTATTTTCCTTGTAGGTTGGCATGTCTCTTGCACAAATAGGAGAGTTTGCTTTTGTTCTTCTAAGCCGTGCTTCAAGCATCCATCTGATTGAGGTTATTTCTCCATATTTTGTTCCTATCATGTGTTGCTCCAAAGCTTCCTGCCTGTCAATGTTGTTTTATACTCTCATGGTTACACTCAGTTCTAGCTAGCTTCTGACTAATTTTGCTCTAGCTTGCTTTTGGAGTAGTCAATAGTTTAACTGTTCTGTTATGATAATATATGTTGTCTTGTGAGCACTGAGGTGCGTGTACTTTCATCTGATAGCTGAATTGCTTTTCTTCAGGGCAAACTTTATCTGCTTCTTCTTGGAACCACTGCACTCAGTCTGGTATGCACCTATACGCTTCATTTCTTTTTAAGCTATATTCTGTTCTCACTGTAAATGATACTCAGCAAACATTTGAAGGAGCGGCTCAAATGAGAGCATGATCACCAAACCTTTGTGACATTGTTGTGGTCATGATGCGTTTACCTTATGTCGTGCGTGTGTACCATTGCAGGTAACAACACCCCTTCTATTCAAAATGATACCCGCGGTGGTCCACCTCGGTGTTCTCTTGAGATGGTTTTCTGTTGATAGCAATCAGGTGGAGGTACACGTTCATATCAACTGAGTTCCATCTCTCGATTGTTTTACTCTGGGAATCAGTTTCCAACCAATTCATCGGTTCTTTTTCAGTTGGGCCTAAAAAGTGATGGCCTCCGCATCGATAGCGGCAAGCGCATAAATTTGATAGTCCAAGGCTCACATGACTCATGACATATTTTGGCACCACGCAAAAGGCTTACTACTTTTTAAGTATGGCTTACGCTAAACAGCTCCACATTGTAAAGTGTTTTTTCGCATGTACGAAAAGTGTTTGTACCACACATGCACGGCCGTGGAACCTGTGGAGTGGAGTGGAGGCAAAAGAAATCAATCAATCTCGTTTCGGTTGTCTTGGGATAGATTGATCTGCGAGTGGTGCAATGGGCAATAGAGTTTGCCGGTTTTGGGAGGAGAGCAGCATGCAGCATACCTGCCTTGGGATGAATGGCGGTGTGCTGCATCGCTCGCTGGAAATTTGAGTGTGTAAACCCCACAAATGAGGGTTTTCTATGTAACATAACAATGTATGCTGATTAATTGATTGGATTAGCGAGATAGGGTTTAGTTTGGCTTGGTCGTTACCATGCCATTGTATTCATTTTGTCAGCGCTTGTGTACGCGTTTCTCATCGCGAATTTTGCTGTGTAGTTTGTAACTAGTGACCTTTTACCATTATCTAACCTTGTCCGTTTCTATTACTGACTTCGAATCGAATCAAAATGGATGCCATTTTGGATACTTGCTTTCGGTAGGCTTTTTCTTTTTAGATATCCATTTTGCGTTCATATATTTGTATTCAATGTGCGCGTTGCAGGTCTCAATGATTGTATAATTACACTATCACGTCACATCAATTGCATGCCTTAGCATCCATGTGCACTATAGTAATTAGGAGAGGACGTTGAAAATCTCGATCCTAATCGTGATAATGACGGTGTCTGCGTACGGCACCAACCTTCCCTAACAAGGTCCCCTGTCCAGATGTATACATGTGCAAATCACCAGCCCCAGCTATTTTTGGCACTAGATACGGAGTATTTATGAACAAGTCTTAAAATCGTGGATTATTTGGCCTCCACGGAGGCACCCACCGAAACAGACAAAAAATTGCTTGCAGGTTGCAAGTGCATACTCGGACAATAGAAAACGATGAAAATGGAGCATGGAAAAGATGGCCCACAAGCGTCTCCTGATGGTCAGCTCGTTCAAAAAAGAGGAAAAATAAATTTGTGGAGTAATTTTTTAAATAAAGATTTATTTATATTAAAAATATCTATTACTCCCTCCATTTCTAAATATTTGACACCGTTGACTTTTTAGCACATGTTTGACCGTTCGTCTTATTAAAAAAAACTTTTGTGAAATATGTAAAACTATGTGTATACATATAAGTATATTTAATAATGAATCAAATGATATAAAAAGAGTTAATAATTACTTAAATTTTTTTAATAAGACGAACATCTAAATATATTTAAAAAAGTCAACGGCGTCAAATATTTAGAAACAGAGGGAGGATATACTAAAAGTTCATTAACTTCCTACAAACGCTCCTATGTCGTCACATGACACTCTACAAACGCTACTAAGCTGCCACGTGGCAAAAAACATCTAACCCTTGATTTTCATTTAAATTGATGGGTGCATCCTTTTCGACCATTAGATTAGACGTAGAAAAAAATAAGTAATCCACTCATCCTAATCTACCTCCAATTTGGGCCCCACTCAATGTGTACGGATGCACGTATATACGTAACAACTCTGTACGCTCCTATTTCCATTCTTCTCTTTTCATTCTATTATCTATTTATCTCTCCTATTTTGCTTCTTCTAATAGAAAGCAAAATTTATGTAAAAACATTTAGGCAACTATTACATTTAAATCATAAAAGTATTCTAATATGCTTATGCTGTTAGACTATTTATATAGTAACAAAATCATACGTATATGTTTTGATCACACTACTATAAAAAGATATATAGAGATCGACATTAGGTGCCACAAGTGATAAAACCAGCACTTATAGACCATTTCTCATATCTGCAGGTTGAAAATACAAAAACTGGCACTTTTAATAGACTATAAGTGCCTTTTTTTAACAAAAACTAACACCATTAATTTACTTTATTAAAACCGACACTCGGTTTTTAAAATTCGGCACTAAAAAACAGAGCAGACCGATGGTCTTGAGCGGATAAGGCTGAGAGGGCTCGGTGCCCCTCTCTCTCGCGTAGATAAGACCGAGAGTCTCTCGCTCTCTCTCTCGCACTCCACTCTCTCCTCTCTCTGTCTATCTCTATCTCTATCTCTATCTCTCGCTCTCTATTTCGCACATTCCTCTTTCTCTCACGCACGCGCACTCCTCTTTCTCGGCCTAGCGGTGATGGCGGCGCCTTCCCCTCAGCCAGATCTGGCGGGAGGGGAGGCGGTGGCACCCTCCCCACGGGGAGGAGGCGGCAGGCGGCAGGCGGCGGCAGCGCCCTGGAAAAAAATTGTATGGCACCCCATGCCACAAAGCTTGCATGGCACCCCTATGGAGATATTGCCCCCTAGCGTGCACAAATCTTGGAGCACATCTTCCTTCAAAACCGCATGAAACTAATTAACTGGCTATCGCTAATCTCGCACGCAGAAGGATGCCGCCGGTCGTGTGCACGGAAGGATGCCGGCGATCGCGAGCCGCGACCCACGCATGCAGGTGGAGACGAACACATCACATGAAATAGAGACGGCGGCAGATCGACGTAACGTATTACTAGAACGCACGCACTAACACGGCAAAGAAGCGGCATTGCACAGCAGCACGGCCGACGGCGGTGGCGGCAGCAGCAAAGTGCACACAAATTGAAACACGGCGGCGACATCGACTCAATCGATCGATAAATTTAATAGTTTGGAATTAACACATGAGAGCAGAACTAACATAAATATTATTTTTGATATAGTTTGTACATAAAGCAGAGCATTAATGAAATATTGTGATAAAAGGAATTGTTGAATCATAAACTGAATCATTTTCTTCATTCATGCAATCTTCAAAGTACATCAATCAAAATTACTTCACCGTCGAAACATGAATTCGGCAATAATAAAAGGGGGTAACGCACGAGACCTAAAAGTAGATGGATGCGGAGACAAAGGATTTAGATAGGTTCAGGCCCTCTCAATGAGAGGTAATACTCTGCTCCTGTTTGGGGATTTGAATCCGCCGGGTGTATTATAGATCTGACGATCATATGTGCTCATGCCCCCTACAGGGCCTCCTACCCACCTTATATAGGATGGGGGGCAGAATTACAAGATAGAAACCTTAACCAATACGGTATCGGTTTCCTAAATCTATTTTACAATATTATCAAATCAGGACTTTAGGCTGCTCCATAATATAAAAGGAAACGTAATACCCAAGTCATGATTTGTTACATATTCCATAGATATAAGCTATCCCCTATGACTAGTCGGATAACCATGCCGTGTGGGTATGGGGTACCCATAATCTCCACAGTAGCCCCTAAGACCTTCATAGTCGAAAAGATAATCTTCTCTCGAACTAGATTACTCCAAAGCCGAGTGCTTCAATCATCGTTGCTATGGTCTCCCGAGTACTTTTACCAAATCTGAAGACTGTGGAGGGCTGAAAAATAAAGTCAGGTGCATCGACTAGATGCACCTAATAGGTGTAGCCCCCCAACTATGTGGTCAATTGAACAAACCAAGCATATAGTCAAGGAAAATAATCCAACCAACCGAGTGGTTTCGATAATTGTAGTCAACCAAGCGACTTGATATTAATATGTAGCATATGCGGTGTGAATCCTCGAATAATATAATCCAAGTGATATACTGACTGCTTTGTAAAACAAGATGCGTACAACCTAAAGTTGACTACATCATTGAAAAATCACATAGCAAAAATAGCTATAAAGAACCTTGTATGCTGTGAATAAAGAATTTTCCAAAGTATTGGGCATACGTCATGCGTACACTGCTTTAACAGATGTGCTTAAGTCCCTAAAAGACACATGGTTTCACCACACCTGAAAATATATGGCATATGTGGTGTAACATCCGAGTAAATAAACTCATAAAGGATTTACCAACCGCCTGGAAAATGACCACAATATATAATCAGCCTAAGCCATAATATTGGTCAATAAAAGTGCACACTTACGTGGCAAAAAGCAACGATATTGTATCCAATCAATTGCTTAAAAACCCAAACATCACCTTGACTTATATAAAAAAGTCAGCGGGGCAGCTATATAAAGCTTTACTATTTAACACCTTTTAAGATGCATTGTACCAACTCCTAAAAAGTTGAGTAACTGCGATATAAAAGGATTTTAAGGTATTGGGCACTTGATCACGCGTACTTTGGCCTAAGCAAAAAGTGCCTAAGTCCCTAAAAGAACGTGACAGGCCACACCTGAAAATATGGGCTGCAGACATATTAGGCATAGGCCAAAAAATATGCCTTCGACACCCTTTAAAGGATGACGCATGTAACATGCTTCCGAGTAATAAATCTTCCAGGTGATATAGACCAAGTGTAGCTCATATGAATAGCTTCTGATCTGAGTGATTATCCCTTATGGGATACTCCCAAATAGATATAATAAGTGAATCCCGACTGGCACAAGTATTCGGTTGATAACCCTTACGGGGAATAATAAATAGTCCAGTCTTTGAGCGTAGAAAATAGGCCCATGGTCATGAATTCATGTTGCATGTATCCGGAACAAGTCCAAATTGATGGTATGATACTTGTGTTTGAGCTAGTAAGCCCCTGAGCATATAGCTTGTCCTTCTGTCGTAGTCATAATTGTCCATTGATGGTAGCTGACGTAGTTGGCATATAGACAAGACGACCAATATAGAAATAATATTGTCCATCAGAGGTGGCAAAAATATTGGTGGTAGTGAAGATAGTGATATCAGTCAAAAGTGATGAAGTTGCACAGCCGTGGAGGCGAAGAAACCAGTCGGCAGCAGTCAGGTCAGCCATCAGTGAAGATGAAGGCGCCCAACGATAAAGTTATGTAGCCGTGGCAGTGAAATAATCAGTCGATAACAGATAAGGCGCTCGGTGAAGAAAACAAAGACGCCCATCAGTAGAGGCATAATAAGCCAACCGTGAAAGCGAAGACACCATGGGCGGTGGCAGAGGCAAGCCAGTGGTGAAAACATAGATGCTCATCAATGGCAATGGCGAAATCCATCAATCATGAAGATGAAGAAAATAGTCAGCGATGACAAACGCATCCGATGGTAATGATGATTAGCGGCAATAGAGATAGCCGGCTATGATGACGAAGTTGCCCATTAATAGCAGTAGAGTGGGCTATGTTGAAGAGATTTGACAGGATGTTGATGAAGATGACGATGTCGGTGATCCAGGCAATAGCGATGTAGCAACCGATGATAATGACGAAGACGCTCATCAGTGTTTGCATAGTAGGTCAACCGTGAAGACGAAATAACAAGTCGACGATGAAAGTTGGTGACGACAAAAGCAACCGAAGACGTAGTCACCCCTTAGCAACGGCGGAGACGTCAGGGCCGATGAAGTAGGGGTGTTGATGATGATGTCAGTGACAATAATCCTTCAAATTGTTGAGAAGATGGCGAAGCTCAAATAGTTTTCTTGATGTTAGCGTGTGCATAATTGAGATTAATGCAACGCCTCTTGATTTATGACG